AGGCTACAATAATGAATGGAGCGGACGAGTGACATTCAGACCAGAGACCACTGGGTCTCCTTGGGAGGATGCTCCTCACAGTCTCTGGGGCAGTTTTAGAAGAAGAAAGGGTTTGAGATGGTCCAAAGGCGGCACCGGGCTTCCTGAGGCGTGTCCTCCACCTGGGGCATCCACAGAGTCTTGTGGTACCCCGCTGTGCTGCGCTCGCCTTCCCTCATTTCCTTGTCCAGCTTCTGAAATAAATCCTGAGGTCCCCCTCCCCTTTCCCCATCAGCATTTCCCCTGAGGTTTAAGAAAGTTTCCCTGGGGTGGTCAACCTTGCCCGCTAGCTCCTTTCTGGCCCTGCCCCCTTGGGGGTCTTCCTCTGTGCTTCTTGCCGAGGACCCCTGCCTCCCAAATGCCCTGGGAGTCCTGGTGGGCAGGAGGCACAGACAGTCAGGGACGGCCCCCCTCTCTTCACCCTCTTTCCCGGCTGTCCCCACCCCCACAGAAGTGGAAAGAGAGCAAGAGGCTAGAGTGCCGGGGTGGACTCCATTTCTCAAGGGCTGGAGGGGCGGGATCCCCACTTCTGGCTGTTCACTGGGGTTCCCCAGGAGGCTCTGAAACCACACAGAATTCTGGGTTCTGCTCTAGGCCTAGTTCAGGGTCTCAGCTGGGATGCTGGTTGAGGAATCCATGTTCAGAGGCAGTCAGCTGGCATAGGGTCCCTCGGACCCGCCAGAGCACCAAGGAAAGGGGGGTAGTGAGTGGTGAGAGCAAGAGCAAGGGAAGTTGAGGGTGGTCGCAGTGATTAGGGAGGCGGGAGGGGTGGGCAGGGGCTGAGGAACTGTGGACATGAGCAGCTGAGGCTTTGGTGCCCATGGGCACAGGGAACCTGATTTTAGTGGAAGGACAGCAGGGACCTCTTTGGGGGCTGCTGCGGAGGGTGAGACCCGAAGTGGGGACCCCACCACCAGCCTGGCGATGCCCATGGCCACAACTCGGTGCTCATGTCCCCTGAAGGCAGGAGGTGCCTGGGGAGGGTCTATGGCCCCAGGAACCCCACCTCCTGTGGATCTGCAGCCTTGCCAAGCTCCATTCGCCTTGATCCTCTTTCTCTTTGGGATGTTATTCTAGCTGTGAAATCTAAATCACAGCGCACACAGGCCAGACCAGCAGCTGAGATAATAAGAGGGACAGCCGTGCCCGGTGTTCAACAAGCGCCATCTGCTCCCAGGAGCACACAGCCCCTTAGAGATGAGGTCTCTTCATTCTCTGGATGTTTTGTGAGCAGAGGATCCCTCCTCTGTTTTCCGAGGGTTTTGAGGCACGTGGGGCACACACTGTGACATTGAGGACCCACATCCCCAGACTGTCCCTGGGTTCCTTCCAAACAGGGCACATCACCCGGGGTCTGGAGTGGGAGAAAGTGGGGGCTGAGCCCCAGGCTTTGTGTCCATTACAGCAGCACGGGGCCTGGCCTCACTTTTTCTTTTGCTTGTTTGTTTTTTGTTTTGTATCTGACTGCCCCGGGTCTTAGTTTCAACATGAAGATTCTTTTTTTTTTTTTTTGCGGCATGTGGGATCTAGCTCCCTGAGCAGGAATTGAACCCAGGGCCACCCCCCTGCATTGCGAGCAGGGAGTCTTAACCATTGGACACCAGGGAAGTCCCCAGGCCTCACTTGGTTGTACAGCACCTGCCCGCTGGCCTCCATCGTGGGTCCTTTAGTCCTGATGCCCGTGCCATCCTGGTGGTGCCCAAGACACCCCATCTAGGGGCCCAGGAAGTCAAGCCCATTGGGACAGCATGGTCTCGGGGCTCTCTGCCCGGGCCGAGGGCAGGGCTCGGCATCCCCAGCCTGGCTCAGCCGTGCACCTGTGAGCACCGCGGAGGGGCAGCTTTCTTGCCTTTTCTCTGTGTAGGTGTGGATGGATGCGGGTACCCAGATCTTCTTCTCCTTTGCCATCTGCCTAGGGTGCCTGACAGCCTTGGGCAGCTACAACAAGTACCACAACAACTGCTACAGGTGAGTGGGCACAGGGCCTGAGCGCCTGACCGTCCAGGTATGTTGGGGTGCAGGGGAGATCCCTGCACCCCACCTGCTGTCACCCCACTCTCCAATCAATCCCCCAGAGCGGCCAGGTGGAGACAGGAGCCGGGGGCAGCACGGGCGAGCGATTGCTTCCCTGGGGAACGGGATAATTGAGGTTGGCTGGGAAGCCCAGCCCCAGGCTCACGTAGAAGGCAGTGGGCACAGGTGTGCAAGCAGACCTGCCCGGGAGTGACGTCACATAGAGCAGCCTGGTCCTGCCTGCTCTGTCCCCTCCCCATGGTGGTTCCCACGGGCCCATCTGGGTTATGTCAGAGAATTTAAGCCGGGTTTAGTATTACCTAAGTAAAATCACATCGTGCATTTCAAAATTGAAACTTAGGTGAGTGAGGAACATCTGTAGCCTGCGTGCCCCTCTCCCCTCCGTTAACGTGTGGGCTGGGCTGAGTCACGAGGGTGGTGTCTCAGGAGGCACGGTGACGGCATGGTGGCAGAGGGAGGCCGTGTGTCCGTGGGTGAGGTTCAGACCCTGTTACTGCCTTGGGGCCTCACTCTTCGAGGATGACCGTGGGTCAGTCCAAGTCTGAGCCCATGGAGTCGGGGCTCAGGACCAGCCCCTAGGGTGTCCTCTGCCCCTGCTGGACAGGCGGTGGCCCTTGAGGCCCCTGGTCCCACCCAGAGGCGCTGGGAGCCCCGCTGACCGTCTGTTCCCCGTCCCGCCCTTGCCTGCAGGGACAGCATCGCGCTCTGCTTCCTCAACAGCGGCACCAGCTTCGTGGCCGGGTTTGCCATCTTCTCCATCCTGGGCTTCATGTCCCAAGAGCAGGGGGTGCCCATCTCTGAGGTGGCTGAGTCAGGTGGGTGGTGTTTTGGGGAGTGGGGGGCCCAAGACGGGGCCTCTGTGAGCTTTGTCTGAACTTTCACCAGCTCACTGGGATTCACAGGCGTTCCTACTGTCCCCTACACTCTGGGTGGCCTTTCAGTGGCTGCGTCCTGGGAAGACATGGGGTGGACTTAAGCAGCAATTCCAGCTTCAAAGGGCGAACAGGTGTGCAGAGAACATTTTCCTTCCCACACTGGCCTCCAGTGGCCCACCCTGGAGGCAACCAGTGTTATCAGGTTCATGTTTTTCCTTCCAGAAATGGTTTAAGCTTTTATCAGAGAAAGGATACACATACGTCTATACACACACATTCACACACACATACATATTACTGTTTCTGCTTGTTACATCTTGTAACAACCAGTTGCTAAGGTGTGGTATACACTGTCCTGCATCCTACCCTGTCTTGTTGCCTTTAAATGTGTCTCAGAGGTAAGTTAATTACCGGCACACGGCTTTCCTCCTTTAAGTGCCTGACCTGCCTCCCCCATGCAGCACTGCTGTTGCCTTTAAATAAAATCACAGATGGTGCCCTATCTGGGTAAGTGGCCAGCGTTTACCTTGTACACCCTCTAGGCCCGTGGACCACCTGCTTGCACCTGTAACAAGACGATTTTGATCATGAGGTTCACAAGCTCCCCCGTCACACAAGGTGCCGGGCACCAGATAACTGACATCATGGTCTCTTACTAAGAACGATCGCGTTTCTCTGTTACAAAGCGCTGCCCTGTGCCGGGCGAGGTGCTGAGCGTTTGCGGTGACTCGTGATGGAGAGTGGTGGGGCAGTCCTAGCAGCACGGGAAGCAGGCTAGGAGCTGACCATCGTCCCAGCCCACGGTCTTGCCCTTCCTTTTAGACGAGATCGGGCGCGTTCAGAGTGGTATGGCCATAGACATGCCCTTCCTTTCAAAGGCAGCTCCCTATGGATGACCGGGCGCTGGCGTGTGACCCTGTTCTTGCCATCTGAGCCGGCCGGGGGCAACACGAAGTGTTTGAGAGGATGGTGGGGGGAGGGTGGTATCATGACACCCAATTTCAGCTCGCTTGCTGTTGGGCAAGAGAAAAGGCCCCCACTGCAGAGGGGGCCAGCCGTGCTCCAGACCCAGTCTAGTCATGAAGGTATTTTCTTTGGAAACTTACAGAAACCACTCTCCAGCAATTGTCTTATGGTCGCACAAAGGCTCCACATCCTTCACCTCCCCCGCTCCCCCTTTAACACTGGGACAACCAGATCCACAAACATCTGTGAGCTCTTTTTAAGTATGAAACCTCTGGTTTGGGGTAATAGATCTGAAGAGTGCTGAGGATTTGGGGGTAGAAATTATAGAAATGTGGGTGAAACAGACCCCTTCCTATTTTCTAAAACCCTTTAAAATACACACAGCTTTTACGTTCTCCTCCTGCCCCCAGAAAACAGCGAGCGGGACCTTGAAGAGCAGGGGTCAGGTCAGCGCCTGGGTGTCTTCTCCTGGGCCAGGATGGTGGTGGGGGTGGCTAACTTCAGGGCTCCCACTGTCCTGTGTCCCACACCGGGACGCCCAGAGGTGGCACCGGCGTGTCCCTCTCTCCCTCCAGGCCCCGGCCTGGCCTTCATCGCCTACCCCCGGGCAGTGGTGATGTTGCCCTTCTCACCCCTCTGGGCCTGCTGCTTCTTCTTCATGGTCGTCCTCCTGGGACTGGACAGCCAGGTATCAAGAGAGATGGCCACTTAGAGCCTGAGAGACAGTGGTGTGCGGGGGCTGGGGGCGGGGAGCAGCGGGCTTGTTCCCCAACATTGAACCTGATGCTCTGAAGGCCCTTAAAACAGCTGGGGGCTGGGCGCGTGTCAGGCAGCAATGCCTTTCCAGGGACCAGGGGGAGCTCTGGAGGGTGGATCCAACCCCAACCATGCAGGGGCCGCTCTGGACTGTCAGGAGGCAGGCAGGGCTGCCCCCGGGAGCGATGAGCCAGAGCTGGTTGATGGAGCTTCTCGTGGGGGGCCCTCCAACTCCTCGCCTTCTCATCCAGTTCGTGTGCGTGGAAAGCCTGGTGACGGCGCTGGTGGACATGTACCCCCGTGTGTTCCGCAAGAAGAACCGCAGGGAGGTCCTCATTCTGGGGGTGTCTGTCACCTCCTTCCTCGTCGGGCTGGTCATGCTCACAGAGGTGAGGGTGTGGAGGCTTGCAGGTGGGTCCTGGGGAGGCGGAGAAGCCAAGGGGGGGGGGGTGTCACTGTCCTCCCGGCAGGGGAAGCAGGTGCAGGGGGGTGGAGTGTGGGCCGGAAGGACGGGGAGAGGGAGTGGGCTGCTGTGATACCAGCTCTCTGCCGTCCAGGCTTCAGGGCCTGAGGTCTGGTCCTTTCCTAGCCTGGGAAGCACTGCACATCTTAGCTCTGGTCATGGCTGAGGGATGCTTTGGCTCCCCAGATGCTGAGAAGTATGGAAAGCCTAGATGGGAAAATCAAAAGTGTCCAATGCAGTTGGACTGGAAAAAACTGCATCCAGCAAGACCCCATGAGTTCCCAGGAAGCTGACCCAAGTTCCAGGGACAGACTTCAAAGGCAGAAAGGGAGCCCTGGGGTGGGTGACATTCCGGGTGATGTCTCAGGGGAGAAGGCAGGAGATGGAGCTCGTAGCTTGATGGTACCCAGGACGGCCCCTTATCCTGACCTTCTGCCAAAAACGCACACAGTCGTGGATTCTGCGTCACCCCCTGTTTGTTCTCAGGGCTGAGCTAACAATAGCTGTTTCAGCTCTCTTTCCAAAAACAATAAGAAGCCCCTATCCTCGTCACGTGTCTGCCTAGAGCTTCACAGCTTACCAACCAGGCTCTCTTTTCATCTCTGTCTCCTGGGATCCTCCCCGCCTCCACTCCATGCCCCGAGGGTGCCTGTCTCCCCAGGTGAGGTTCTGTCTCTCCCCCTCCCCGGGCAGGGCGGCATGTACGTGTTCCAGCTCTTTGACTACTATGCAGCCAGCGGCATGTGCCTGCTGTTCGTGGCCATCTTCGAGTCCTTCTGCGTGGCATGGGCCTACGGTGAGTGACTCCCCCCTGGTCCTGACCCTGGCACTCGCCTCTGCCCAGGGCTCTCAGACAAAGGAGATACCACTGCTCACAATGATCTTTCCCTGGCCCAATCTCAAAAAAAAAAAAAAAATCTCAAGACATGGCCCCCAAGAGGTGGTCTTGTGCACCCTCCTAATGATGGCTGCCCCCAGCGCACCCTGGGGGCCCATATCATGTCTTATCCAGAGCTTTTCAGCCTTTAACAACCTCGATCATCAGAAAGCCCGTGCCTTGGCCCAAGCCAAGTTCTGCCCACTGCTGCTTATGTCTGTGAATCCCAGGCAAGAGTCAGCTCCCAGGGGCGATCAGAGAAGACAACCACCACATCTTTTTCTGACCGGTCCTTGCCTTTCCTGGTGGCTGTGGTCCCTGTCCCGATGCTTCAGATGCTAGACGGTCCTTTCTCCCCCTCCCTCCTCTCCTTCATGGCAGGAGCTGGGCGCTTCTATGACAACATCGAGGACATGATTGGGTACAGGCCGTGGCCTCTCATCAAATACTGTTGGCTCTTCCTCACGCCGGCTGTGTGCACAGTAAGACAAGCTCCAGAGGAGAAGCCAGATGAAGGGAGAGACACGGTGGTCCAAGAGGGTAGACGAGCCCTTACCCTAGAAGGGACTTCTCCGTGGGGACTGAAAATCATTTAGAGGTTTCATTCATCCTCCTGTTGGGTTCTGCAAAATGCTACCCAGATAGCTTCTTCCTTTCCATTTCACAGAAGGATAAACTGAGGGCCAGGGCAGCCGGCTCGATCTACTCCACAATGTGAGTCTAAAGTGGCAGGTGCCTTGGGCTGTTGAGATGATACTCACTGATAAAGCCCAGCGATGACAATAGCAGTTCTAGAACACTTAACTTCCTGCTGGGCACAGAGTGCATCACACAAGAACCCCACGAAGTTCAGAATTACCGCTGTATTCGCTTCTCAGGTGAAACTGAAGCCCTGGAGGTTAAGCATTTCACTGGAGCTGGAAGGTGGCTGAGCGCTGGGACTCAAGCCCAGGCAGCCTGGCTTGGAGTCTGGGCCTGAGCTCCCAAGCACTGCTGCTCCGGCCTTCCCTGGGTCAGCAGCGCCCCTGAATGCCCACTATGCTGATGACAGGCCAGGAGATGGAGGCTCCACCCTTGCACTCCATGTGCTCACAGCCGGGCACCAAGTCCCAACTGAGGGCCAACCATGTGTAGAGATGCCCAGGGGCACGGGAACCCTGCAGAGACAGAGTAGGCACCTTGGAAATACCTCCCCGGGGGTGTGGATTTTGAGCAGTCTGTGGATGGAGGCTGGAGGTAGACTGGCCCAGCTGGGTCGGAGGACCCATGCTCCCCCAGCTCCATCTCTCCTACTCTCACCCTCAGGCCACCTTCCTCTTCTCCCTGATCAAGTACACCCCGCTGACCTACAACAAGAAGTACAAGTACCCGTGGTGGGGCGATGCCCTGGGCTGGCTCCTGGCCCTCTCCTCCATGGTCTGCATTCCTGCCTGGAGCTGCTACAAGCTTAGCACCCTCAAGGGCTCTTTCAGAGAGGTAGGGAGATGGAGGGGAGGAAAGAGTCGGAGGATGAGCTGGTGGCTCGTCCTTGCTGACAGGTGGCCGCCTGCCTAGGTAGAGGGTGGTTCACAGGAGAGCCAGGGGTCCTGGCGTGGGGGTCGGGGAGGGACAGACGGAGTGCTCAACAGTCTCAGAAAGAGACAGGAGGCTACGGAGACGCTGCTGTGGTCACCGGGAGGGCGTCTGTGTAGGAGGAGGCATGCACACAGCAGTGAGGAGGGTGCTGCCCACCCCTCCCGCTCACGACAGCCCCCACTCTGCTCGCAGAGAGTTCGCCAGCTCCTCTGCCCAGCCGAGGACCTTCCCGAGGGGCACCGAGCAGGACCCTCTGCCCGGGCCACACCCAGGACATCACTTCTCATCCTGACCGAGCTGGAGCCTCACCGCTAGGGGCCAGGCCCTGGGTGGTCTGGTGAGCCTGGCTGCAGGCGCAATTACAGAAGGAACACAAAGAAGCAGCCCCTCTGTGCTTCTCCAGGCTCCCACCCGGCTCGGGAAGGGGTCGGGGGTAGGGGGCAGGCAGAGACTAGACAAGTTAATAGGGGACATTTTAGAACCCAATTTTGAGCTGGGTGCCAACTTCCCTGCTCCAGGGATGGCTGGACAGGTGAGAAGGGCCAGGATCAAGGGCAACCCCTTTGAGAGGGGCCTGGGGAGTCTGGGGGATGCTGAGGGGAGGGGCGAGAGCTCTGTTTGGCTTCCCTTCATTCCATTAAATCCACGTTCTTCCCACCAGCTGCTAGCGGGTCTGCCTTGTTTCTGCCCCCTGCCCTTTCTGCCCTGCTCACCTCCTCACCCACCCCATCCACTGTCTCTCCTTCTAACATTGAGTGGGGTCTCTCCTTGTGGACCAGGAGCAGAGGGGCTGCTGTGGGAGATGGGGATGGGGTACAGGCAAGGTCCTCTGTCCCCAGGCCCTTGGCCAGAGGGGTTGTCTCCCCTCTGTTTACACCCCCATCCATCCCCTCTCCCCATCTGTCCCCTCTCTCAGGTCCCTTTCCCCCTCCTTCACTCTGGAATGAGAAAGGAGATGGAAGGGAGAAGAAGGAGTTCTCATTAGAGGAAGGAGGATGAGAGTGGCTGGGCTTCTTTCTGTCCGATTTCCCCCATTCGAGTCTTCTCCTGGCCTGGCCTGCCCAAACTGCATTCCGCACTGGGCATCGTGCGCCAGGCTCTAGACAATCCGCGAAGCACCGGCGGAGCAGGCCACTACCCGACTCTGCCAGCAGAGGGCGCCACCTCCTCGGGCCCCCGCGCATTTCCGCTCCCAGGAGGATGGATGCGGACTTAGTACCCAGGACGCGGCCTCCGGGCGGGCGGTTAGGAGCCCTCTGCCGGCTGCCTGGCCCGAGAGCGCAGATGTGTCCAGAGAGGAGCGGCGGCCGGCGGGGGGGGGGCGGCGGGTTGGTGGGTGAGGCAGAGCGAGTTCCTGGATGATTTTCTTAGCTTTTTAGTGAGCCTACTAGTGGGAAAATGCACTGAAGTCCTCGGGTTTTATTCTTTGTTATTGTTGGGAGGGTTTATTAAAATCAGTGACAGCAGTTCATTCCTGGACAGTAGCTGCCGCCTCCACCCCCACCCCAGTGTGCCAGGCGCAACCCAGTCCTAAGATGGGAGAAATAAGTTTGCTAGAGGAACTTGTGGGTCTCCAGATACACACTTGGAGTCTTCGCCCAGCTGAGGACATTTCCGGGACACAAACTACTGGGTGCTGTGCTCAGGACACGTGAGGAGCAAAAATGGACATCTCTTTAAGGACAAAGGATGACAACTGCTATGAAAGACAAGCAAAGTCTCTGAGAACAAATAAGTGTATGTGGGAGGGACCCTGAGGATCCCAGGACAGGGCTCTGGGAAGACCCAGGGAGGGAGGCAAGCACTTCAGTCACAGTGATCTAACCCCTCTTTACACCTCCTCACCCACCCCATCCACTGTCTCTCCTTCTAACATTGAGTGGGGTCTCTCCTTGTGGACCAGGAGCAGAGGGGCTGCTGTGGGAGATGGGGATGGGGTACAGGCAAGGTCCTCTGTCCCCAGGCCCTTGGCCAGAGGGGTTGTCTCCCCTCTGTTTACACCCCCATCCATCCCCTCTCCCCATCTGTCCCCTCTCTCAGGTCCCTTTCCCCCTCCTTCACTCTGGAATGAGAAAGGAGATGGAAGGGAGAAGAAGGAGTTCTCATTAGAGGAAGGAGGATGAGAGTGGCTGGGCTTCTTTCTGTCCGATTTCCCCCATTCGAGTCTTCTCCTGGCCTGGCCTGCCCAAACTGCATTCCGCACTGGGCATCGTGCGCCAGGCTCTAGACAATCCGCGAAGCACCGGCGGAGCAGGCCACTACCCGACTCTGCCAGCAGAGGGCGCCACCTCCTCGGGCCCCCGCGCATTTCCGCTCCCAGGAGGATGGATGCGGACTTAGTACCCAGGACGCGGCCTCCGGGCGGGCGGTTAGGAGCCCTCTGCCGGCTGCCTGGCCCGAGAGCGCAGATGTGTCCAGAGAGGAGCGGCGGCCGGCGGGGGGGGGGCGGCGGGTTGGTGGGTGAGGCAGAGCGAGTTCCTGGATGATTTTCTTAGCTTTTTAGTGAGCCTACTAGTGGGAAAATGCACTGAAGTCCTCGGGTTTTATTCTTTGTTATTGTTGGGAGGGTTTATTAAAATCAGTGACAGCAGTTCATTCCTGGACAGTAGCTGCCGCCTCCACCCCCACCCCAGTGTGCCAGGCGCAACCCAGTCCTAAGATGGGAGAAATAAGTTTGCTAGAGGAACTTGTGGGTCTCCAGATACACACTTGGAGTCTTCGCCCAGCTGAGGACATTTCCGGGACACAAACTACTGGGTGCTGTGCTCAGGACACGTGAGGAGCAAAAATGGACATCTCTTTAAGGACAAAGGATGACAACTGCTATGAAAGACAAGCAAAGTCTCTGAGAACAAATAAGTGGGTGTGGGAGGGACCCTGAGGATCCCAGGACAGGGCTCTGGGAAGACCCAGGGAGGGAGGCAAGCACTTCAGTCACAGTGATCTAACCCCTCTTTGGGAGCTTTGCTGATGGTGGATGGAGTTGGAAAATAACCCACCGGCACCAAGATCTGGAGATGTGGGTTCTGGTCTTCTCCTGCCTCACACCTGCTGTGTTTCTTGGTGGAATTCAGGTCTTCATTTTTTGCAGACAGATGATACTGGGTGCCTCACCCACACACAGGTTTGTGGTGGGGCTGGATGGGGTCACGGGCATGCAAGCCCATCCCTGAGGTCATTAGACCAGTGGGGGATGGATCAGGGGGAGCTGTGCTAGAAGTCAGGGCTCAGGTCAGGGAAAGGGAATGGCCATACCTGGAGGTGACTTCAGCCTCTCAAAGAGATGGCTGGGGTGGGGCCACTTTCTGTCCCCTCTGCTTGAGCCCTGATTGGGAGATTCAGATCCTGCGGTTCCCAGAGGAAGAAGAGCCCTTTGTCTAGAGACCCCACCTGTTGGAGAAGGAGACCTTAGAACACATAATTTAGCTTCTGCTGCTGCTGCTAAGTCACTTCAGTTGTGTCTGACTCTATTCACCCTCAATTTGCTCATCTGTAAAATGGGCAGATCAACACCTCTGTATCAAGGTTTCTGTGAGGTGGGCAGAGAGCCTCAGGGCAAGCTGAGAGGAGAGGGGAGAGGCAGTAGTTCCCAGAGAGTTAGGGCTGGCCACCCTGAGATCAGGGACCTGCCAAGGGGACCCTGAGTCCCCAGGATTCGTGGGCCCTCAGACTGTGCTCACACATACAACAGGTCTAGGACCCACACATGTGCACACATACAGCCCCTCACTCTCCGCAAATGAATGTGCACAGACCTGGACACACCACAGTCTGCCAGGCTGGCAGGCCTGGCATGGGTCTTACTAGCGATGTGACCTTGGGCAAGTTCATGGCTCCGATCCTTAATTTTCTCCTCTATAAAACGAGAATAATAATATTTACCTCATTGTAGTGTTAGAGTCCAGTGCAGAGGGTAGGGGTAGCTGCCTTGGGGACATATTTCAGGCAAATCCATCCTGTTTCCCATGACTCCACCCCCACCCCTGCATTGAGTTGTCAGTGAAACAGAAAAGCCCAGAAAGAGCTCAGAGACATCTTTGCTGCCCCCCCCCCCACTTCCCCAGCCCCATGTATCAGGTTGCAAGGGACCCCAGGAAGAAGGCTACACATTTATTACCTAAGCATTTTTGCTAGGAGGCAAGGGAGAGGCAGAGCTAAAATAACCTTACATCCATGGCCTGAGGGTCCTGCTTAGCACCAGCAGTTTTGTCTAAGAAAAGCAAGACCTGAGTCCTCCAGGCCCTAATCTACCCCCTGGTTCTGAGAGAGCAATAACCTTTCTGGAGAGGGAAGACCGAGATCAGTATTTCCCTCGAGTTGCATCCATCCATCCCTCCCTCCCTCCATCCCTTCTTCTCTCCCACCTATCCATCCATCTGTCCACCCACCTACCCAGCAATCCATCCACCCACCCATCCGTCCACCCACCCACCCATCCGTCTGTTCACCCACCCATCCGTCCATGCATCCACCCAACCGTCCATGTACTCGTCTATCCATCCACCCATCCATCCACCCATCTGTCCATCCACTAATCCATCCATCCCTCCACCCATCCACCGACCCACCCACCCATTCATCTGTCCATCCACCCATCCATCCANTCTACCCACAAATTCATCCATCCATCCGCAAGCCTACTCCGATCCAGCGCTATATCAAATGCTTGAGGGAGAAACACAGAATTATGACGTGTGATCCCTGCTCTCTGGATACTACTGGTCTAGGCAACATTGCTGCAGAGGAACAGGCACAGATTTTTGGAGCCCAGCTTCAAATCCTAGCTCCCTCATTTACTAGGGACACCTCCATTAGCTTCTCTTTGCCTCAGCTTTCTCATCTGAAAAATGGGCTAATAATTTCTACATTTCATGTATCTCATGAAGACAAAATGGGGTGTCATGTAAAGCATCCAGCCTGAGTTAGGCGCTCAGGGACCAGGCCCCACCTCAGGCCTTCTACAAGCAGGCGCGGGGTAGAAGATGACTGCGGCGGTGCAACGGTTTTCACTGCAGTAAGATACTGCATTCACTAGTCCATCTTCACTCCCAACCTTCCCCAGCACGGAGACAGCCCAGCCTTAGGCAGGCTTTCCAGGTAGCTTAGGGATCCTCACCTTTTGCAAAGATGGGAGTTTACAGATTGTTCTAAATGCCCAGCAGGGGCTGGAAGCTGAAGGGTTTGGTGGGCTTGAGTCAGGGAGGGTGGGAGACACAGGGCAGCCAGGTGAAGCCTGGCAGCCCTTCTCTTTGACAGGAAGGGGAGGTGACACGTGTATCTCCAGGTCCTCGCAGAGATGCCCGACACACTTGGCACCGCGAAACATTTCTGAATGAATGCCTGAGCTGGGAAATTCACCCTCTGCCCAGCCTGGCTTTCTTCCCTTGCGCTCCCGCTTCCCGGAGAGGCGGGCCGTTTGTTCTGAGGAGCTGCAGCCAGGTAATCAATCACAGGGACTTTGGGGGCCCCTCTGCTGTGTGGTTGACACGCTGCGGGGACAGGGGACAGCGGCCGGGCCTCGCAGCAAGCAGCACAGTCACTCCATCCCCACTGGGCAGGGGACACGGGGTGAGGATTCTGTCCGGGGAGCCTGGGGGAAGTGCTGAAAGGGGCCCGAGAGACGCTGAGTGGGGTGCTGATGGAAAACTACAGACTGAGACTCAAGCTTCACACCCCGGCCCTACGGGGAAGTTCTAGAACATGAAGGGGAAGTCCAGGCCGAGGGAAATTTCCCTTCACCCCGCAACTTCTCCTCCCCCCGCTCCAACCACCTGGGGCCAGAGAGACGTCTTCACTGTCCGGAAAGAGACCCTGGCTGTACGGAGTGAAAGATCACGGGCAGCCCTGCACCACTACCGTGAGGACATGGCAGAAACATCAATGAGGACGCTGTTCTAGAGCAGCTCCCCGGGCACACAGAGGGGCACAGACGCTAACTCAGGCACCAGTCCACCACGGGTGGCTGCCAGGCCGTCAGACAAGTCCCACTCTGTGCTTACTGCCCAGAGGTCACCAGGGCATCACTGTTGCCGCGGGACTTCTGCACCCCAGCCCCTGCTTCTGGAATACCCTCAGCAAACACCAGCAAGTGGCCTGAGACACCAGCAACACCCTTTAGCCCTCCGGGCAGCTCCGCAAGTGAGCGCTGTCAGGTGAGATAAGAGGCTCAGATGCCTGCCCGGCTGACATGACTGGTAGTGACAGAGAAGGGGGCAGACCCAGGGCTGTCTGCCTGCAAACCTGTGTCCTTTGTGGATGCTGCTTCCCGAGGCATGCTCTGGGCACTGTGTCTAGCGAAAATCCCAAGGAAACGGGCCGTGGCTGGGAAGGTCCAGAGCCTGGCCGCGAAACCGCAGAGGGCAGGTACTTGTGGAAAAGTCCAGCGGTGATTCACCTCCTCCCCACCCTGCCCTCCCCACATCTCAGCCTGCAGCCTGGGTGTTGGTAGCACCCACCCTACCGCCCAGTGAGAGAGGGCTGTGCCCAGCCCCGTCCATCCCGTCCGCTTCCCTCCAGAGGAGCAGAAGCCACACAAGAGGGGTGAGGGGAGAGGGGAGGGGAAGGGACAGGGCAAAGGAGGGGAGGGAGGTGGGTCTCTGGGGGGTCGTCCGGAGACAGTGCCTCCGCCACCAGCCCTGCTGGGAGGGAGGGAGGGAGGTGGGGGAGGGGGCTGGGGACGGAGGAGACTTCCTGAGCTTGGGTGTCGTAATCCTGGTTCACAGACTCTTGGCCTCCGTCCCTCTTTCTGCTTGCGGCATTTCTCTGCCCCTTCTTTTTCCAACATACTGGCTCATATGCACGTGCACTCACACAGACACAGGCACAGTCACTTTCTGTCCTGGTTGGGGGAGGGGGGCGGTCCCAGGACCACGTTGGATGGGATTCTGAGCTGGGAGGAACAGGAGGAGTGGGACAATTTCCTTTTCAGGCTGGGTCTCTTAGCGTCTTCCCGGGGACTCTGCTGGGGACACGGGAGCCCGGGAGCTGGACAAAGGGATGAGGTGAGTGGGATGCAGGATGGGGGGGGACTGAGAGCTGCCACAGAGGGCTCAGGGGACCCCCCGGGAGGAGGACTGGATGAAAGCGTGTGTCTGGCTATGAGCGAGGCTGGAGGGGAAGGCTGGTGCTGGGGACTCTTAGGACATGGCATCCTCCCCAGCTCGCTGCACCATCAGCAGCATCTGAGCTGCTCAGGACAAGCCTGTGTCATAGCAGGAGGAAAGTCCTTGGATGGGGGTTGGCCCCAGGGAGCAGGTGAGAGAGTGGTGATCACCGGCTGGAGAGGGAAGGGGAGGCAGGCAGGTGGTGCCCGCGGGTGGGGAGGAAGGCTGGCAGGTGAAGGGCCATGACCTGATCAGACTCCCCACCAGGCAGGCTCCCCGGAGGAGGAGGAGGCTGTGGGCTTGTGCCCTGGAGGACCACGAGGGCTGAGCCAGGCAGCCCACGGGGTGTGAAGGACTGGACGGGGGAGGGGCTCAGGTCGTGGTGCGGTGCACACAGGTATGTGAGCGCACGGGGACGTGACGGGAGCGGCTCCAGTGTGTGTGCAGAATGGGATCTGGTATGTGGGTGTGGGCTGAAGCCGGGGCTGGGCGTCCGGGGCCTGGGCTGTTCCCCCGTCGCCGGGCCTGTTGGGCAGCAGCATTTTCAACTGTGTCTGCTCCTCGGCTGGACACTGGGCAGGTCTCCACCTACCTGCCCAGCCCCTAAAAATGGTGAATGTGGGGCTTGCCAGCCTCTTGAAGAGTTCCTTCCTGGGCAGGGCTGAGCCGGCCGTGGGTGTGGGTATCTTGCCTCTGGAGGCACTGAAGGATGGTGAGGTCCAGTTTGCACCCCCACTTTCTGCCCCAGCTGAGCAGAGCAGGTGGCAGCCTGGGCAGGTGATGCCAGGAGCTGGAGAGGTGACAGAGCTGGGGTGAGCCCTTGGAAGGGGGAGTTCTCTGCAAGTCATCGAAACTGAGGGTAACACTGTTGCTTAAGTATTCCTGGCAAATGGGCCAGAGGTGGAAAGGCATAGTATGGGCGAGGAGGGCAGGGTGCTGTCCTTTTAGCTTTTAAACAAATATTTACTTATTTGGCTGTGCTGGGTCTTAGTTGTGGCATGCAGAATCTAGGTCCCTGACCAGGGATTGAACCTGGGACCCCTGCATTGGGAGTGTGGAGTCTTGGCCACTATACCACCAGGGAAGTCTCTTTTTGGCTTTTAAAATTAACCCCCCAAAGGGAGAGCTCAGACAGCTTTTATGTCTAACATCCGCCTGGAAAGTTCTTCCTTGAGTCTAACTCGAAGCCTGCTTGTTGCAGTTTCAGCCTGTTTCCCCCTTGACTTGCCATGACATGACTCTTGGCCAGCTTTCCCTTTCATGTGTTCTTGCTTTCGTCCTGCCATTCATTATTTCATCCTTACCCATAAATCATGCTCCTCTCGATATTTTCTTTTTTTTTTTTTTAAAGAAATCAGAGCAAAACTTTTCACATCAGGGTCAGCTTGTATACGTTCTCTTCTCCCAAATCCTTCTCCACCCTGGGCTCTGAGGTTTGCCCTCGCATCCTGTACTCTCCTCTGGTTTTCCCTTCATTTGCTCCTTTCCCAGGGGTGGGGGGTTCTCCCCATCTCCAGCTGCTGGGAACAACTTGGCCCTGAAACAGCCACCTCTGGGGACAGTGAGCCTTGTCTCCTGGCGGCCCCGTTGGTGACCCTGTGTTCAGGCCCTATGGTGTGGCAAACACAGGCAATCTCTCTCCTTGGCTTTTGTGGATCTCATTTGTGTCCCCTGCTTCCCAATACCACAGTTGAACATGCGTCATTGTTGCTTTCAGGGAGACTTAAAGCCCAGAGAGGAGGTAAGACTTACCTAAGAGAACACAGCAACCTGAAGACACAGCTCCCCGCTTACAGTACCGGTAAGTTTGTTCAAATCATTCAAAAATAGTTACTGGGGGTGTCAGGGCCTGTTCCTGAATTTCTCTGAACTTCATTTCATCATTCATAAAACAGAGTTAATAGTAATTCCTAGCACAAAGATTTCTACGAAGATGAAACTTAATAATGCACATAAACATGTGTATGTTTTGGGCACAGTGCTCAAAGTTTCGCTTTTGTTATTCTGTGCCAGGTCTGGAGCAGACCTTGGAGTTCCTATCAGATGCGTCTTCGTCCGTGTTTTCAAGTCCATTCATTCGTTTGATAAGGATTCAGAGGCCAGTTTTCAGGGTGCCCAGCCTCAATTCTGTATCAACATCCACCATTGGTTCAGGTGTCTCCTGGGACCAGACACCCTGTTCTTTCCACCTGAGACTTGGTTCTCAAAGCCCCGGGGGTCGGCCTCTTTGTTTTTCCTTTCCTTCTCCCCCAGCCCCTTCCCTGTATCAGAGGCTGAGGTCTTTGATTCCACCAGGCGCCACTCTCCTCACCTTCCATCTAGAGCCTAGCTTACCAGGGAAGCCTCCTCGTAGGTCCCAGAACTTGAATTTCTGCCCCGGACATGCTTCCCCACTCCTGGGGCAATCTGCACCCTCCAAGTCACCTTCAAAAATTTCCATAACCTCAAATGGCCCTGCCACGCCCTCCTAGCTGACTTGGGCTTGGGCTGTTGCCTGGGTTAAAAGGACCAACAAGTAAACAGACGCTTCTTTAAATAAAAAGAATCCCTTGTGTTTCTCTGGAGCCCTAGAGGAACAGAGCCCTTGGTAGCTCCTGGTCACTTTAGTTGCCCAGCGCCCCTCGGAGGCGGGGGCGGGGAGGGGGCGCGTGGGTGAGTGCCCCCATCTGCAGCCTAGGTACCTCTTCGTGGCAGCTCCTGGAAACAGAATCGGAGGTGGCCTTGGGCAGAGCGTGGGGAGGGGAGGCAAACAAGGATTCCAGATAGAGCAGGCATCAATTTATCTCCTGGCAGCCGGTAAATGGGCCACGGGAGGGACGGGGGGAGCAGACAGTGGCAGCCCTTCAGGGTAGGGAGTCAGGAGGAACAATGACCTGCCTGTGATGGGTACTCACTCTGGGTCTCCCTTGAGGGGACATTCGGATTGGAGGGGACCACCCAAGTGAGGATCTCTCTAGTGACTCCCTCCACCTCCAGGATCCTTGCCAGCTCTCAGGACGGAGGTTCAACCGAGAGAGGGGGAAGAACCAGGCTTCCCTTGAAGGCCACCCTGACCCCATCTGGCCTCATGAGGTGGCCCCACCTTCCCCTGCCCTCCCAATCAGATGCCCAGAGCGAGTTGGCCCTGTGTTTACCCGGAGGCAATCGATCGTCCTGGCACAGTGACGAGCATGCAGCTGGCCCAGGGAAGACCATGCTATACCTGGCCACAGCAGCCCTTTGACCTCCTGTCGCCCCCAGCAGCCTCTGACCCCTTATGCCTGGAATGGTGCCACTCACTGGACACTGGGGACCTAAGGCAGATGGGCCAGCAGGGATGGCAGCTGGCTGCAAGGATCAAAAGAGACTTGAGATAACGGTCCCCAAGCCTGGGTTTTAATCCCCATCTAGTTCCTGTGTGGTCTCAGGCAAATCACTTCGCCTGCCGAGGCCTGGATTTTCCCATCTGCAAAATGGGCAAGTTAAGAACAAACTGCTCCCATTATAAAGAAACTACTGTTTTTGTTGTTTAGTTGTTAAGTCGTGTCCGACTCTTTCGTGACCCCATGGACTGTATCCCACTGGCTCCTCCGTTCATGGGATTTCCCAGGCAAGAATACTGGAGTGGGTTACCATTTCCTACTCCAGGAGAACTTCCTGACCCAGGGACCGAACCTACATCTCCTTCATCGGCAGGTGGATTCTTTACCAGTGAGCCACCAGGGAAGCCCCAAACCACTATACTCCAGTAAAGATTAATAAAAATAAAATAAAATCCAGATGCAGTTCCCATTAAAAAAATATGCTTGCATTCATAAGGTCCTTCTATACATTACAGGGAACTCTTTTTGATACTCTGTAATGAGCTATATGAGAAAAGAATCTGAAAAAGAATGGTGTGTGTATATGTATAACTGAGTCGCTTTGCGTACAGCAGAAAGTAACACAACATTGTAAATCAACCCTATGCCAATAAAATTTTTTAAAAGCCATAAATAAATACATATGTACATTTTAAAGAGAGCAAACTGCTCCCTATTTATTATTGGAGCCATGAGAGCAAAGGGTAACTTGAGGTGCAAATGTCACTGAGAATTTGAGAAGAAAATCTGGTCCAACACTATTAGACAACCTCCCGGCAACGCTGAAGGGTTGGAATGGAGAGAGCGGGGGTGACAGCTCCCCTGGGGTTGCCCAGCTCGTTCCTCTCATCCCTGCAGGCTGGCCTCTCCCACCGTCCTGCCCACGCCCATCTGCAGCCTCCCAGCCCATCCATGGCTGCAGACGACAGAAAAGCTGCAGCTCCCAAGGAGGGGCTTCCAGTGGTCCCCTGGGCCCCTGAGGAGGGCTCAAGGCCAGACCAGGAAGCCAGGGAGCAGGTGAAGGATCGAGGCCAGTGGAACAACAAGATGGAGTTCGTGCTGTCCGTGGCCGGGGAGATCATCGGGCTGGGCAACGTCTGGAGGTTCCCCTACCTCTGCTACAAAAACGGGGGAGGTGAGTTCACTTGAGGTGGGCGCGGTAGGGGAGACCTGGGGAGCTCCAGTTCCACCACTGGCCTCGGCCTTCCCCGCTGTGAAATGGGCTTGATTCCTCGAACAAGCCCCTCTCCAGGAGGAAGTCAGTCACTGAAGGACTCAGTTCCTCACTCAGCTCCTACTGCGGGCCACCCTGCACCAGGCACTCTGCTAGATATAAAACAGAACACACTCTGGGCTACGTTGCAGCGAAAGGCAGCAGGTTACAGACAAACACGTCCGCCGCAGTCTGTCGAGTGGTGAAGCGTGGATGGGTTAGAAGCAGAGCAGCGTGGAGGGACGGGGTGGGGAGACACTGGATCAGGAAGGGAAGGGTGAGACATGGGAGGCGAGGGGACCAGGAGAGGGTCTGTCCAGGAGGTGGCCTTTGAGCTGAGAATTGAAGGAGGTGAAGGAGCGAGTTCCAAGGGTAGATTTCAGGTGAAGAACACTCCAAACTCAGGAAACGGCAAGGGCCAAGGTCAAGTGAAGAGCAGCTGGCCTGTTTGAGGAGGGACGAGGAGGGGAGTGATGGGGTCGGGGGGAGGGTGGGGGAGAGGCCAGAGGTCACGGACCTGGACCCTGAGGTTGGGCTCTGAGTGAGACAGGAGCCATTGAGGAATGTTGATCAAATAAGAGGCACGATCCCTGTCTAGGATTTTTTTTTTAATTAAAAAAGCAATTATACACGTTTTAGCACCAGTAGTAAAAATGAGTAAGGGTGTAATGGGGAGGGGCCAGAGTCACCTTTTTAAGTGTGGTTTTAGTATATTCAGAGAACTGTACAACCATCACCACAACTGATTCTAGAATCTTTCCATTACCCCCAAAAGAAGCCCTGTACCCATCAGAAGTCACTCCCCAGCCCTCTCCCGGCCCGCCCTCAGCAACCACAAATCTGCTTCCTGTGGCTGTGGTTTTACCTGTTTGGAATATTTCACATCAGTGGAATAATTCATTACATGAGTTTGTTTGTGAGTGGCCAGATTCATTTTTGCCTTTTGAAAACACCTTTATTCTTTTGTGGAAACGATGTATGTGAATATTAGAAATATTCCAGAAAGGTGAAAAAGAAGGAACAGTCCTGTTTAAAAATAGCAATTGTTTAGAAAATCCTTCTAAACACCATTTATATTTAAGTTGACAAATATTTATTGAACATTTATTATGTATCCTGCTCTCTTTTTTAAGTATCCATGATTAATTTTATTTTTTAAATATTTATTTATTTGACTGAATCCAATCTTTAGTTGTGGCATGTGGGATCTAGTTCCCTGACCAAGGATCGAACCCAGGACCCCTGCATTGGGAGCACGGAATTTTAACCACTGAACCACTGGGGAAGTCTGTACATTTTTAAATCGTTATCAAGTCATGCATAGTAGGTTCTTATTTTTGCAAAAAAAGAAATATATGTGTATATGTTTATAAGGAAATTGGAAGGATATACTGATAGAAGGGCATCCATTGTGGCTCAACTGATAAAGAATCTGCCTGCCATGTGGGAGACCTGGGTATGATCCCTGGCTTGGGAAGATCCCCTGGAGAAGGGAAAGGCTACCCACTCAAGTATTCTGGCCTGGAGAATACAGTCCATGGGGTCGCAAAGAGTCGGACATGACTGAGCGACTTTCACTTTCACCTTTCAATGATATAATGCTTTTCTCTTTCCTTCCCATTATATTTTCTATTTTTTCTACACAGTAACATGCTTGAGAAGCATTGTAACACTGTGGTTACAAGCCCAGGCTTAGGGTCAGACCACCTGAGTTTGTGCTTCAGTTTCCTCATCTGTAAAATGGGGATAACATCAGTACCTGGGAGGTTGCTTTGTGAGGGTTTTGATGTTGGTAAAGCATTTAGAAGCAGGCTTTACAGACAGAAGCCCAAGTGCCAAGTGTTATTACTATGCAATGAACTATGCATTACTATGCAATGTGTTCACCCAGGCACACACTTCTGAGATGATGGAGGTGGACACCCTGGCCTGTCATTTCCAGGGTGTCTTTAGGCCTGGCCTCCCACCACGGCCTGCAGGCCAGCACCTTCGACTGCTGAAACCACATCCCAAGAATAGCCCCCCAGCAGAGGAGTGGCCTCCTCAGAGGAGCCCAATTCAGACCAGAGCCTGAGAGAAGGGAAAACCCTCTGAATATGAGGGAGAAAAAGCCCTCTGAATGAGAGGGAAAATAATTTTTCCAAGATATTTTTGTTTGTTAGTTTTCCTCTAAAAAGTAACCTACTTGATAATTTAATAAGCATATCAAGTTATACAGAACACATGTTTTTGGTTCCAAAAATAATAAACTGAATCAGATTTGTGAAGCACATTGAGAAAGTAAATAGTGTGTATATTAGGATCTCCACCTACCTTTTCATTCATTTTGCTTGGAAGGTCTTTCCTATCCTGGGTGGGGTGAGGACTGGAAACTTTCCACCCGCCCTGCTCAGAACAGTAGGAAGCTGCCTTGGGCCTCTGGGGGCTATCAGGCTTTGTAGGACCCAAAGCTTATAAAACCTGGGGGGAAGCAGTCTTCAGGGAAGGACAATACAAAATCGTACGCAGGCATGAAACTAGGTCTTAGGAGTCTTAGGAGGAGTGCTTGCAAGTGAGGAGCCCTGGAGCTGAGTCTTCACAGCTTCATGGTAAAATGTGCTCCCAAGCAAATGGCCAGGCCCCCCATGGGCGTCCAACGGTGTAATCACAGTGACGATGGGAGAAGGCGTAAGGCCGTGTTGTTCTGTGGTGTCACCTGCTCTTCTTATTTAGAAAAATAAGGAGTAAAGGGTTCTCAGGCCTGTGAGTAAGCCCGGCAGTGTCTCCGTGGCCCTGCGTCCTCCCAGCGCCACTGACAGCTCCCGTGGGTTCCGGGCTGACTCTGATCTCTCAGACCTTCCTGTTCCCCATGCCTGCACCCCCACCCTGTCCCCAAGGCATTGGGCTGGCGTCCGTGGTCATCGAGGCCTATCTGAACATCTACTACATCATCATCCTGGCCTGGGCCCTCTTTTACCTGTTCAGCTCCTTCACCTCCGAGCTGCCCTGGACCACCTGCGCCCACTCCTGGAACACAGGTACCTGTTGGGTTGGGCCCGGGACGGGGCGGCTGGCGACGGGCCAACGTGACCGGGCTCCCAGCCAAACCCGCCCCAAGCCGAGATGTGGGGGCTGCTGGGGGCCACTCTGCGGGCCAGCCCCGGAGGGTCACTCAACCAACTGCCCTGACAGCCGACAGCCCCGTGGGACTGTGGGTGATAACTGACTGCCAGGCGCTAACTGCCCCCACCGTCCACCCACTGAGCCAGTGTTTACCGTGGGCCTACTGCGCGCCAGACCCCGGAGACCAGAGGGTAGGCCCGGCTGGGCCCCCATCGCTGGGGAGCGCAGTTCCACAGGGTGGGTGAGGGGACAGGCCTGAGGTCTGGATGGGGTCAGAGGTGGCCGGTGGGGGGCCCAGAGGAGCAGTCAGATTCGGCGGGGTTGGGAGAGGGGGCTGGGCTTCCCGAGGGGGAACTGACACTGGAAAGCGGGGGCTCCCGAGGACTGGGAATGATGGGGCCAGCAGGCCAGAGGGTGGGGGACAGGATGTGAGGGCGTCTCTGCCTGCCTGATCCACTGTGGATGCCCCCTTGACCCCCACAGAGCATTGCATGGACTTCCTGAACCGCTCCGCAGCCGGCACCACGGGCCCATCCGAGAATGTCACGTCCCCGGTCATGGAATTCTGGGAGTAGGTAGCAGGCCTGGATGTGCCTCCGGGGGGGCCCAGGGGAGGGAATTTTGGTGCCCGGGGCCTGGGATGTGGGGTGCAGGTGTATGCCTTTCCAGCACTCGCCCCCCCGTCACCAAGAGATGAGGGACCCTCACATACCTACTGCCCATACCCTCACCCCACACCCCCGTGTCCACCGAGACTCACATGGGTGTGAGTGACTCCGTGAGTGTCCACGTGACTCCCATCCCACTCAAGCCTGCTCACCCTCCCCCACCCGCACCCACACATCCAGCTGCTCCTCGCAGCTCAGGAGACCAGCCCTGCGCACCTTTCCAGCTCTGCGTGCCCTGACGTCCTGGCGGTAGCTTGAACTTGGCCCGAGTGGGAATATTTACAAATTGGCAAATACCTACACTCATCCACACTTGCACCTGCACCCTCCACTCAAGCACTTACACCTCTCCCACATGCACACGTGTCCACCTTTGTGCTTACAGAGTCTACCCCCCCACACACACACTCACCTCGGCACACACGTAGCTGCCAACACTCTCCCAAGGGTGCCCGCCCAGTCCACACTCACCCTCATGCCCTCCAACCCTTGGCTCACACATTCCTGTCACCTGTCACCTGCCAACCCCAACGCACACCAGTCCCTCTGCTCCCCAGGCATCTGCTCACCCACTTGTTCACCAGCTCTGCCCCACTGTGGGCTCCCCAGGCACGTGCCACCCTCACCCTGTCTCTGTCTCTCTCTGAACAACAGAGAAAGCTGGATGAGTTAGACAGACATACCTGTGGCATTACGTGATTTGTTCTCCTAATGACCAGGGGCTTAAAGACCACAGTGGGGAATGTGCTGTCCATGGGGCAGGGGAGGGGCAGGGTTTGGGGTGGCCTGGACGCTGAGGTCCGTGGGGTCAGCTCTGAGGATCAGGACACCTGATGATGACAGAGGAGGCGGCTTGCTGTCCCCTCGGCCTCACCTGGCGGTGTAACCCCCGCCCCCACCCCTCTTCTGCAGGAGACGTGTTCTGAGCATCAGCCCTGGCATCCAGCACCTGGGCGGCCTGCGCTGGGAGCTGGCCCTGTGTCTCCTGCTCGCCTGGGTCGTCTGCTACTTCTGCATCTGGAAGGGCGTCAAGATCACAGGCAAGGTGAGGGGCTCGGGCTCCAGGCACGCTCTTTGTGGCCCCCAGAGTCTGCAGGGACCCTACCACCACCACCGCCACCACGGCATCCCCCTGGAGACCTGAAAGAGAAAGTAGTGAAGGGAGGGGTCTGCTGAGAACAGGGGACGTCCTGGGAAAGGGGTTTAGCTCAACACTGGGGAGAGTCTTTCTTTTTTGACATGACGGTCAAAGGCCTGTATACATAAGCAAGCAACCTGCAGTGTGAAATAGCCCTCCCCAGCCTCCCCCTGCCCCAGTCTGGCCCGCTGATGTGTGTCTCACCCTGTGCTGGGGAGCCCCAGACCCCCCGGAACATGCGCTGTCTGGAGAGGGGTGACCTTGGCCTCCCCCCGCAGGTTGTCTACTTCACAGCCACGTTTCCCTACCTGATGCTGGTCATTCTGTTGGTTCGAGGCGTCACCCTGCCCGGAGCCTATGAGGGCATCATCTACTACCTGAAACCAGATTTGCTTCGGCTCAAGGACCCCCAGGTAGGAACCTCTCTGGGGACCCTTAATCCTAGGCATCTCCCGCCCCAAACCAGATCCGGACTTCTAAAAACCTCTGGTTGCTTTTCCCTTGGTGTAGAGGCAAAATATGCCCACCACAGAAAAGAGAGATAATATAGAAGAAAACTATAAAAAGAGGAACTAAACACCTCTTTTAATCCCACCACTCAGTTATAACCTCTGTTAGCATTTTATTCCGTTTTCTTGCAACATTTTTTTCTGGCTGGGTGTGTGTGTGTGTGTTCACATAGTCGTGATAATTATACGTGGAGATAAATATATTTTCAGTTAAATGACAGTGGAAGCATCTTCCGTGTTATTAAATTCATTTGTAAATGTCATCTTACCACTTGCATAGTGTTTCCTCCGTCCACCGTCCCTCCGCTCCCTCGTTCAGCCAGGATGCACCACGGTTCCAGAAGTCCATGGTCCGCACTAGCTGCCCTGGAGCTAGTGTGGACAGCACGCACACACGTGATGTCTGCTGCGCGCCCAGGAGGGGAGGAGGAGGACCCGCTGGTGGACGTGGGATGCTCTGAGGGGAGGCAGAGGGGCCGCTCTTCGTGGGGGTCTGTGTGGTCACACACACCAGGCTCCCTGCAGGCTCCCCCCATCTTTTCGCTACTTCTTCGGGGTCTCCCTCCCTTAGGTGTGGATGGACGCAGGCACCCAGATCTTCTTCTCCTTCGCCATCTGCCAGGGGTGCCTGACGGCCCTGGGCAGCTACAACAAGTACCGAAACAACTGCTACAGGTGAGCAGGGATGGGGCCTGGGGGTGGGAGGGGGGCCTCCCTCCTTTGTGATCGGAGATGGAGGGGCGGGTGGGGGACCCAAGCTGCACAAATCCGACCCTGCGGTCCGCTTTCCAGACTGGGCTCTTGTCCCTCTCTTCCTGGTACCTGGCCTCGGTCTCCGTCCCCCCACCTCCTTTTCTCCCTCCCCTTCACCGCTCACTGTCTCTGGATCTCCTCGCACACTGGGCTTCTTTCTCCCTCTTCCTTCCCGTTTCCCGCAGGGACAGCATCGCGCTCTGCTTCCTCAACAGCGGCACCAGCTTCGTGGCTGGGTTTGTGGTCTTCTCCATCTTGGGCTTCATGTCCCGGGAGCAGGGCGTGCCCATCTCTGAAGTGGCCGAGTCAGGTGGGTGCTGCCTGCGACTTGGAGGGAAGGATGGGCAGGGAACAGAGGGTGGGGTGGGGGTCCCGGAAACTGGATACTAGGAAACTTTCAGCATTGGGGGGGCAGTGCTTGGCACAGGGCAGGACCCCAAAACCAGGGGAGGGAGGAGGGAGAGGCGAACGGATGGGATAATGGGAGGATGAGTGGAAAGTGTGCTCCCCAGAGTGGCGGATGGGCTCAGCCAGCACACGCAGGTAGACATACACGTGCACACATGCGTGCGGGCAGGCCCCCCTGATGCTGTGTGTGCCCGGCAGGCCCCGGCCTGGCCTTCATCGCCTTCCCCAAGGCCGTGACCATGATGCCTCTGTCCCAGCTGTGGTCCTGCCTCTTCTTCATCATGCTTATCTTCCTCGGGCTGGACAGCCAGGTTTGCCCCACCCCCACCCCGCCCCACCCTGCGGTCCCCTTCCCAGCTTCTGTGCTCCCTGCCAGGACTTTCCCCAGTCCCCTGGCCCCAGCCCAGGGTCGTCCCCCCTCCATCCCATGACCAGGACCCATCCTTGAGGTTGGCGGGGTGGAGCTAACCCCTGGCCTAGGGACCCTCTTTGGTGAGGGGCTGCCTCCTTTGCCCACCCCGCCCCACCTCCACCCCCAGGCCTGACCCTTCGCAGACATGGACATGCCCTCCCAAACATCCCTCCCTCGCCCTCAGGCCACCCAGCCTCCCCTTCCCCATCCCCCTCCCAGCTGGGACCCTCTGTGGTGGAGACATGGGGTGGCCTCACCCCAGCTCTGACCCCTGTGCCCCTGACTCTGCGGGTCAGCATGGGGGTGGGGGGCAGGGAGCGGGTGTGGGCAGTGACCCCTCTCACCAGCCCCCTCCGGCCCACAGTTTGTCTGTGTGGAGTGCCTGGTGACGGCCTCCATGGACATGTTCCCCAGGCAGCTCCGGAGGAGCGGGCGGCGGGAGCTCCTGATCCTCGCCATCGCGGTCACATGCTGCCTGATCGGGCTCTTCCTGGTCACTGAGGTGAGCGGCAGGGGCGGAGCCTCCCCGCGAGATTGGAGGGACCACACGGTCAAGCCTTCCTGTATTGGTTTCCTCTCCTTTGGTTTCAGGTGACAGAAACCAAACACAAGCTGGCTTAAGCAGGAAAAGGAACTTTTTGAGTCAGGGAACTGATAAGTCTAGATGTTCAGTTTCAAGCTCGGTTGGATCCAGCAACCCCAATGACATCATCAGAGATGCCCCCCCTCCCTTTCCCTGGTGATGTCATTCTTGAACAGATTTTCCTCCTGGGACATTACAGATGGCTGGGGCAGCTTCAGGCTTCCCTTGTGCCACCAGCCAACCCTGGGGACACAGGGCCCTTTTCCTGAGAGTCAGCCATGGCTCCTCTTCAGGCCTGAAACAGGGGAGTGGACAGCAACCCCAATGACATCATCAGAGATGCCCCCCCTCCCTTTCCCTGGTGATGTCATTCTTGAGCAGATTTTCCTCCTGGGACATTACAGATGGCTGGGGCAGCTTCGGGCTTCCCTTGTGCCACCAGCCAACCCTGGGGACACAGGGCCCTTTTCCTGAGAGTCAGCCATGGCTCCTCTTCAGGCCTGAAACAGGGGAGTGGGGCGCACACACTCACAGTGAGGCGGCCACAGCACAGCACCTTCCAGAAGGTGGGATTCTGGGCAGACAACTCAGTGGATCTACACTGCAGTCCCCGGGGTCCTCGCTGAGGTCAGAGACGGTTGTCAGATGAGGCCTGGAAGGCAGGGACAGGCAGGGCAAACTCTAGCTGCAAGGGATGACTTCCTTGGGCCGAGCAGGGTGGCAGCCCACAAGGTGGGCATCTGTCTTCTCTGGTGGGGCAGGGTGTGTCCCCTGCCACCCACCCCCGCCCCAGCGGAAGTTGAAGCCTCAGCTGCATCTCCTGCCTGCAGGGCGGGATGTACCTCTTTCAGCTGTTTGATTACTATGCCTGCAGCGGCACGTGCCTGCTCTTCCTTTCCGTGTTTGAGGTGATCTGCATCGGCTGGGTGTATGGTAAGTGGTGGGGGGAGCCTTGGGGTCCCTGGAAGGGCTGGATCTGCCCCAGGTAAGGACCGGCAAGCTGGCCTTCTGGCCTTTGTGGCTCTTTGAGCTGCTGTCTTGGTTCTTAATTTTTTAAAATATTTATTTTGTATTTATTTATTTGGCTGCTCTGGGTCTTAGTTGTGGCATGAGAACTCTTAGTTGGGGCATGTGGGATCTAGCTCCCTGACCATGGATCAAAACCCAGGTGCTCTGCCCTGGGAGCACAAGAGTCTTAGCCACTGGACCCTCAGGGAAGTCTCTGCCCTGGTTCTTTTTACTTGAGGTTTATCCATCGCTGGGAACCCAGGCATTTCTCATTACGGCAGGTGGAGCTGGGCTTGGGACAAGCCTGGGCTCCTTGAATAGTGAGAATAATTATGAATACCTGGAGTCTGGGCTTCACAGGCTGCCCCTGCCCAGCGCCCCACACGGTTCAGTGGCCCGCTTGCTGTTCCGCTGCTTTTACTTGAAACCGAATCTGTCTCTGTGATACAATAAGCGTTTGTGGGGCCGCTGAGCCCACTCTGGCTCACACCCTCCCGTATGTTAGGACGTGGGTCTTCATCCCTAGACGGGAGGCCAGAGATGCCCTGGGAGGTGAGGGGGCTCCCTGTTGGTCCCGAGTGTCACTCCTGTGTCCTGATCCAGTTTCCCCCACACGGTGGGGTGGGGAGGACGGAGCAGGCAAGTCCTTCCCCAAACCCACCCGCTGCCCAACTCCTGTCCTCACACTCTCCCTACACCCACCTGGGCAGGGGCAGACCGTTTCTATGACAACATTGAAGACATGATTGGCTACCGGCCGTGGCCCCTGGTGAAGATCTCCTGGCTCTTCCTGACCCCTGGCCTTTGCCTGGTATGTGCCCATCAGGGCCCCCTATGTCCCCTCCTGCCTCTCCAGTCAGTTCCGGGAGATGAGGGGCAGGGGGCTGCGTTCTTGGCTCCTTGAGGGGCAGGTCCGTGCCCTCTCTCGTGTGCTGGTTCCCCTGCCCCTCTTTTCTCACTGTCTCTTGGTTTCACGAGCACTACCATCCAGCCTAGTTCCAGCTCTATCCCTTCCTCTGGCAACTCCGTCGGTCTGTCTATCTCTCTGATGTTCCAGCTGCTGGCCTACTTCTGCCTGTCTGCTTGGAGCATCTCCGTCTCCCCTCCCTTCCTTCTCGATGTGACTGACGCCTTGGCCCACCGTCTGCGATGGCTTCTACTCTGCACCTCCAGAAGCACCAGTGTATCTAACTATGCTCCGTCCCCAACGAGAGGGTTCACGGGCCCCCTCCTGCATCTGCGTCTGCCCCTCCCCCTGTCTCTCTAGGCCACCTTTTTCTTCTCCTTGAGCAAGTACACACCTCTCAAATACAACAATGTCTATGTGTACCCGGCCTGGGGATACTTCATCGGCTGGTTCCTGGCTGGCTCCTCCATGGGCTGTGTCCCACTCTTCATCATCATCACCCTCTTGAAGACCCGGGGTTCCTTCAAGAAGGTAGGGGCTGGGAAAGTGGCACTGAGGAGGTTGGACAATGAGCAGGGCATCATGCCTGGGGCAGCTCTGAGGCCAGGCAGCCCTTCTGTCTAACAGAATGTTAAGGAGGAGGGTCTTTGAAGACCCATGGCTTCATTTTCAGAAATGGTCAAGAGTCCTAGACCTTCAGAATCTGACCTCCAGATTATCTGGGCAGGCTGACCAAGAGCAACTCTCAAAGGGTTAAGGGGTGTGTGTGCATGTCAAGTCGCTTCAGTTGTGTCTGACTCTTTGTGACCCTATGAACTGTAGCCCACCAGGCTCCTCTGTCCATGGGGATTCTCTGGGCAAGAATACTGGAGTGGGTTGCCATTTCCTCCTCCAGGGGGTCTTCCCAGGGATTGAACCTGCGTCTCTTACGTCTATCTGCATTAGCAGGGAGGTTCTTTACCACCAGCACCACCTGGGAAACTAAGTTATAAACAAGACCTCAAAGGTGCCAGACACAGTGGGTCACAGAGCACAGATTCCTGCTCCTGGAAATTGGTGACCAGCAGCCACGGTTCACCCACACAGTTTCCCAGCTTTTCTCCTTCTCTTATACCTGTGCGAACCCTCTGCAAAAGGCTCCGTGCTTAGGGTGTAGGACATGCCTTCCTGGAAGACACAGAGCCAGTGTCCCACAAAGACATTACACACGTGGGAATCTGTCTCACCTACAAGTCACAGAAAACCTGACTGCAGTAAACAAACAGGCTTAGTGTCTTCTTACACACGAAGAAGATCAGAGTTAGGGCTTCTGGCATTTGTTTCGGCTGCCTAAAGAGGCCACTGAGGACCAGACGCTTCCTCTGTTCCTGCACTTTCATCCTGCTCATGTTGTCCTTTCATCATCATACTTATCACCTCATGGTCACAAGAAGATGGTCATGATTCCAGTCATCACATCTGCATTCAAGGCAAGGAGATGGCATCAATAGCAATAGTAGTAGCAGTAGTACTACTGGGAAGAAAAATGATAGACATTTACCGAGTATTTGATAGCAGTAGCAATAAGAATAGTTATAATAAGAACAAAATAGACACTGAACACTGATCCTGTGCCAGGCACAGGTGGTATCTGACAGACGGGGCACTGAGTGGTTCAGTGGGTTGCCTGTGGCTGCATAGATGTCAGGACTGTCACCATGTCACTGCCTCCTCTCTCTTTTCGAGATCTGTGCTTATTCATTCAGTCTCACCGTACTGAGCTTCCCCCAAGGGCGGGCTCTGAACTCAGCCCTGGGGACACAGACATGAAGACATACTGTCTTTGCCTCTCTCGCCAGCAGCACCACTGACGCCCTCTTCTCCCCACAGCGCCTGCGGCAGCTCGTCACCCCTGACCCCAGCCTGCCGCAGCCCAAGAGACACGAGTGTCTGGATGGTGGCAACGGCCGGGACGGCGGGCCCGCCCCACTTAAGGAGGGCCTCATGGCTGGGGAGAAGGAGACGCATTTGTAGGATGTGCCCGGAAGCCAGGTGGCTCTTGTGCCCCCAAGCGGACAGCTTCACCTCTGCCCCCTCCTGCAGCCTTGCCGAGAAACTCTGTGCTGTTGGTGGCAGCCCCTCCCGGGGATGGAACTCAGCATCTGATCTGAGCCGGAGGTGGTCTTCCTGAAGCCCGCTGTCTGATTATGACAACTGCAGTGTACACGGGGGGGCGTGCCCTCTGTGGGGGGCTTCCTCTTACCATCTCTGGGCTTGGAGAGGGTAGAGCCATGTCAGACATGACCACTGACACCCATGCTGGATCCCGATGTTCTGCTGGAGGGGACCCCTCACCTGGCTTAGTGTCCTGGAGTCTACAGGGAGGAACCAAAGAAAGACACAGCCACTGTTGTCTGGCATTTTCCTGGGGACGGGCTCTCAAGGCATCCCCAGCTCCAGTCTGCCTTGCAGCGTTGTCCTCGATGCAAGGAGTGTGGGGGTGGCAGGGGCTCAGGGTGGCACAGCCTGCACCCCGGACAGACATTCCCCAGCTCATGACCTTCTGAAGACAGAGCTCCTGGCAGCTGTTTGCCTTTCTGCCTTTGTCCCAACCCTGACATCGTGGACGAGGAAACTGAGGACCTGAGAGACAAAGTCACTTTTGCAGTTCACACAGCTGCTCGGGGCCAGAGACACGACTAAAGCCTCCTGCTCTCAGGCCCGTGTCCCCCCTCACCTCCCTCTCCTGCCTTGTTAACAAGCCCCATGGAGCGCTTGCCGCCTGTGCCAACCTTTTCTCTGTCCATTGTGGTTCTTGGGGTGGGAGAGAGAAGGTCCCCTCTGTGGGAGTGAGCAGCCCCCAGGTTGGCAGCCCCCCTTTGGCAGTTCCTCTGCCAGCCCACACCCCTCTGACCAAATTTCCTCCCTGGACTTTTGTCTTCTCCCCATGTTCCACCCTCTCCACCAGAGGATGCCTTGGATCTGTGAGAGACCCCCAGTCTCCCACAGAGATGTGGGGGTGCCCATTTCCCCAGGCCCCTGCCAAACCATGCCAGACCTTTCCCTGGCTGGGGGAGGCTTCCTGGAGAAAGAAGGCAGGGCTTAGATAAGCTGTGAGGTCTTGTTCCAAAGGGAAGCGGGGAGGGGGAGCAGGGATGGGGTGGGCCACTTGGGGACAGTGTCCTGGGGAGGACCTGGGGACTGGAAGAAGCGAAGTCACCTGCAGTGATGTGTAGGTAGAAGTCACCACCTGGTGGCTGGGGTAAAATCTGTGGTCCAGCCAGGGTGAGCTCCATCCCCACTGCCCAGCATCCTCAGAGCATCCGCTATCCTTTGCTCAGAACTTCGAGGACTTCTCAGCTTGTGAGGACAAGGATGCTGGCACGCCAGCAACAAGCAGATGTCCAGACTCCTGGGTTCTGGATGGCCCCTTCTGCCTCCCTCTGGACTGCTAGTGCATCGCGGCAGTTAACTGGCTAGTTGGTGAGTGAAGAAGGCCGTCCAGGGATGGAGAGGAACTCGACTCCAGCCAGATTCCTCTTTTCCAGGAAAGGGCAGGCATGGTGCTCTCTGCTGCCACCTGGTGGCGGATGGGAGCAGGGCCCCCTCCCTGGTCTGGCCTCCCACCTCCTGGAGGCCCCCCTCGCCCCTGCCCTCGCTGGACAAATGGACTGGCTGAGCATTTCCTCTTCCCTGTGCAAGCTAGCGCCATCTGGAAACGAAAACTTCCCACACCCTCCTCCTCACCGCCCCATGAGGGTCCGCTGGCTTTGGGACAGCCCTGCTGCCGGGGGCGTGGGGTGGAGGCCAGCAGGCTTCTCGGAGGCCAGCCATCTGCCCTGAGTATGCTGAGTTGTGCAGCTGGGTCCTCAGCCTGGAGACCTTGCTGTGGGCCGCAGGCAACTCTACACACGGGGGGCAGGGGGCGGGCATGGGCTCTCTCCAACTCCTTTCCGGGGGGGCGGGGTGGGCATGAGCTGGGGTGAGGGTATGGTGGGTCAGGTGGGAGAGTGGCTTAGGGGGTCTGCCCGCCCCCTTAGTGGTGGACAGGGATCATGGGAGTTGGGTTTTGGCTTTTTGCACCTTATGGTTCATGACTTGCCCCAGCTGTGCAGGCAAGCCGCTAGTTTCAGTTCCCCACAGTTTCTTTGTATCTGTTGCTTGAAGAGATGAAGGGACACCTGTCCAGGTACATGCACTGCAGCAAAGGGCCCCAGGTCCCCAGTCCCCGCCTGTCTCATAACCTGCTTCCTTCCAGGTCTGACATCCGGGGACTCTGTGGCCCCCTGTGATGGTGGACAAGGCTTCCTGACGCCTGCTGTACATTCATTCCTGGTGGGGTTGGGGTGCGGGGTGGGGGAAACGGCTCCCCACCCAGATGTCTTGGGAGGAGAGGGGATTGAGGGGTTTCTGGGGGGGCAGTAGGCCTAATTCATTCCTGGTGGGGTTGGGGTGCGGGGTGGGGGAAACGGCTCCCCACCCAGATGTCTTGGGAGGAGAGGGGATTGAGGGGTTTCTGGGGGGGGCAGTAGGCCTGTCCAGGGGTGTTGGGAATGTGGGAACATGAGCTGGCCCTCCTGGTGGTCTGCATCCCTGTGGCCAGTTCCCACAATTTTTCCAGAGTTTGCCTTGAGGTTTCAGGGTCGTGGGAGCAGGAAGTGCTGAGGTGCTAGGGGCAGCCAGTGGGGTGAGGGCTCCTGGTTCTCCTGGGAAAGAAGCCACCAGACCTGCAGGGCGGCGGGGAGGAGGGGTGAGGAAAGAGTCCCCATCCCTCCTCCCCATCTCCCGAGCCCAGCTCCCTCATCCTCTGGCCTCCCCGAGAGTGGAATTTTCCTGGTAGGACCAGTCCCGACTCCAAGCTGGGTCTTGGAGCTGATCTTGAACTGGACAGCCTTCTTGGGGAGTAAAGCAGTGCAAATGTTACTCACTCACTCGTGTCTGACCCTAGGCAACTCCATGGACTGTGGCCCACCAGGTTTCCTTGCCCATGACATTTCCCAGACAAGGATGCTGGAGTGGGTGATCATTCTCTTCTCCAGGGGATCTTCTCCACCCAGGAATTGAACCCAGGTCTCCCATACTGCAGGCAGACTCTACCATCTGAGCCACTATACTAGGGAAGCCCATGGTTCTTGACAAGGGGAGGGGTGAGGATAAGAAGGCAGCTTGCATTTCCAGGCCGCTGGGCTCCAGCTGGGCCTCACCTCCCCATGGGGGGAGTGCTTTCCTGACCCGTCCCAGTGCAGCGTCTCTCCCAAGGCCAGCAGTGTCAGCCTAGGCCCCTCCAAGCCAGGCTTCCCCCTGGGACGGGCGCTCTTCTGAGTGCCTCCTGCACCTGGCCCGCCTGCCATGTCCTCCTCGGTGGCTCGCTCTGGGGTCAGAGGACATGGATTTGGTGGGAGGTGTGAGGAGCAGGTGAGCAGACCTGCTGTCAGGCAGCTTCCAGGTGGCCGGGGGCACGTGGAGCCCTAGAAGGAAGCAGCTTCAGGCGCATGCATGGAGGGGCTGGGCAGTGGGGGGCCTGGAGACAGAGCAGGCACCCCCCAGAGCAGTCAGAGACTGGTGGGCCGCATGAGCAGACCTGGGTCGCCCCTCGAGGGGCCCTTCTCCGCACTCCCATCTCAACCCAGGCCTGAGTCCGCACCTCCCGCTCTAAACCACCCCCATTGGAACACCTGCCTTCCAGTTGGTGCCATGTTAATTACTGTGTGTCCAACATATGGTGCTTGGTGGGAACTCCGGGAAAGCAAGTGTCAGTCACCACATCTGTGGAAGCCAAGACAGGGAGGGGGGCATCTGCCAGCCCTGCTACAAGAGAATCAAACTGTGGCGACTTTATCTGCTCCACGCTGAGGTGTGAGAGGTCATCAACCCCAGAATCTGGAGCTAAAGGCCGTGGGGTCCATCCTGTTATTATTCTAAATGGCAAACCTGAGTCCTCTTGGACTGGGGTGACGAGGAGGAGGTGGCCAGTGTGGGCACCTTTCCTCGCTGCTGGCTAGTCTTCTGGGGTCCTCCTGCAGAGACCCAGCCCTTAGCACTGCCCCCACCAAGCCCTCAGACTTTAGGAGCCGCCCGACTGCACGCTCCCCACTCACTTCCTTTCCCAAGAGAATGGTGAACCTCTGCCCTGGGTTTTCTAGGAGAGGCCCATTTTATTGTTTCCTGAGTAAAAGTAGTTTTTAAATGCACTTAAGATTTAGTAAGAATTTTCATATAAGTAAGCTTATATGAAAGTGACATTGTTAATCGCTCAGCCATGTCCAACTCCTTACGACCCTGTGGACTGTAGCTTGCCAAGCATGAGCAGACCTGGGTCGCCCCTCGAGGGGCCCTTCTCCGCACTCCCATCTCAACCCAGGCCTGAGTCCGCACCTCCCGCTCTAAACCACCCCCATTGGAACACCTGCCTTCCAGTTGGTGCCATGTTAATTACTGTGTGTCCAACATATGGTGCTTGGTGGGAACTCCGGGAAAGCAAGTGTCAGTCACCACATCTGTGGAAGCCAAGACAGGGAGGGGGGCATCTGCCAGCCCTGCTACAAGAGAATCAAACTGTGGCGACTTTATCTGCTCCACGCTGAGGTGTGAGAGGTCATCAACCCCAGAATCTGGAGCTAAAGGCCGTGGGGTCCATCCTGTTATTATTCTAAATGGCAAACCTGAGTCCTCTTGGACTGGGGTGACGAGGAGGAGGTGGCCAGTGTGGGCACCTTTCCTCGCTGCTGGCTAGTCTTCTGGGGTCCTCCTGCAGAGACCCAGCCCTTAGCACTGCCCCCACCAAGCCCTCAGACTTTAGGAGCCGCCCGACTGCACGCTCCCCACTCACTTCCTTTCCCAAGAGAATGGTGAACCTCTGCCCTGGGTTTTCTAGGAGAGGCCCATTTTATTGTTTCCTGAGTAAAAGTAGTTTTTAAATGCACTTAAGATTTAGTAAGAATTTTCATATAAGTAAGCTTATATGAAAGTGACATTGTTAATCGCTCAGCCATGTCCAACTCCTTACGACCCTGTGGACTGTAGCCTGCCAGTTTCCTGTGTCATGGGATTCTCCAGGCATGAAATACTGGAGAGGGTTGCCATGCCTTCCTCCAGGGGATCGTCCCGACCTAAGGATCGAACCGGGTCTGCTATATTGCAGGCTGATTCTCTACCACCTGAGCCATGAGGGATGCCCATAAAAAGGAAATACATGGCAGATTAGCCTGGTTTCCACCTCATTCCATGCCTAGAGGTGGTCTCTGAGTGGCTCACCTGTCCTCAGACCCAACCTGGGCCTTGTTGAATTTGTCTCCTCGGAGAGGCCTCAGCCCCTCGAGGCCATCAACTCTATCATACCACCATCTGCTGTGTGAAAACACTGGTCCATTTGTGTATTTTTATTATTATTTTAAATTGTTATTTATTTTTTTGGCCGTGCCACGTGGCATATGTGATCTTAGTTCCCCAACCAGGGATCAAACCTGTGCTCCCTGCAATGGAAGCATGGAATCTTAACCACTGGACCACCAGGGAAGTCCCCATTTGTGTATTTTCAATGACACCACCCAACGTGAACCCCTGGAGAGCAGGCACTTTGCTCGGCCCGTCACCACACATCCCTCACCCCTGGACCCACACCAGAAGCACACCAGTACCAGGTGTTCTTAATCCTGATGGATTTTCCCTCTTCTAGCACTAGTACCTGGCCCCTTGCTCTCAGCCAGAAACCTGTAACACCCGGGGCCACCCTGTCGGAAGCATCCAAAGTCAGGGCTGATGAGTTTGTTTCCACGTCTGAAGGGTCCCAC